GATGGCAAGGAATACTTTCTGCTTTCGATTTTGATATTGAATTTATTAAAGGTGAAACTAACGCACTCCTTGATTTCTTAACTCAGGAATTCTTGCAGGGTGCGAACCAAACTGTTGGCCACGGGTCTTTTGAGACCGTCTCATCCTTTGGGGAAAGTACTAGAATGGCCTTAGGACCTTTCTAAAGTTGTGTACAGACGCTAAGTTTCCAGGAACTAGGGTTTTGAATTTTAATTCGCGGTTGAGGTCGTTTACTGAGTTGTGATAGTTGGACAATTGTTTAAAGTGTGCATTGCTTTCGGAATTTTGGAATGTATGTGTGTGTGTGTATATATATATATATATATATATATATCTGTGTGTGTGTGTGTGTGTGTGTGTGTGTGTGTGTGTGTGTTATTTGTGTTATAGATTGGGACATGGGGATGGTGTGAATTGATGCATGACTTGATGTTGAATGACGATATTTTCTGTGCGAGCCTGGAATTCGAATTTGATGGTGGAAAACTGAATGGTTTGGAAATTAGTATTTGGTTAATGGAGTTTTGAAAATGTGCTATCGGATTGGTTTTGGCTTTTACATTGTGACATGGGAATACATAGCTATTATTATTATGGTAATTATTATTATTATTGTTATTATTACTATTATTGTCGTTATCATTATTATGTATAAAGGCTTGCATGTTGAGTGGGAAGTGGGGCTATATATATATGATCTTTTAAATAAAAAATTCTTGATAAGAGTGGATTGCAAGGCTGCGAAAGACATTTTGTTCAAAGATGTAAAAAAATTAGCATCAAAACAAATTTTTGCAAGATGGCAAGGAATACTTTCTGCTTTCAATTTTGATATTGAATTTATTAAAGGTGAAACTAACGCACTCCTTGATTTCTTAACTCGGGAATTCTTGCAGGGTGCGAACCAGAAGTTCCGGACAAATGACTCCCAGTAAGAGCTCTTCTGCTCTTGCTAGGTCATCCCTGTCTGATCCAAAGCCATTGATGACTTCTTCTCCATATAATAAGGGTAAGGAGAAACATATTGTTGAGAATCCATTCCGTGAGTATATGAATATGTCTATAGCAATCATTGAAATGAATGATCCATATAATAAGGGTAAGGAGAAACATATTGTTGAGAATCCATTCCGTGAGTATATGAATATGTCTGTAGCAATTATTGAAATGAATGATCTGGACAAACATCCGAATTTTCTAGCTGAAAAATATTTAAGGGATAACCTTCCTCCCTTAAATAAGCCCCGTCTATTCTATGAAACTCTTCTAATTGAAACTAAATCTGTTAGTATAGTTCATCGTCATAGAGGTGGAAATACCAACACTATAGCATTCTCCAAAATCCAAATTCTAAATGTTATTTCCTTGGAAGAATGGGGTCCTAGCCCTAAAAGGGCCAAAAGATTTATCCATCCTGAAATTAGGCCATATTCATATAATTTCTGGGATTATAAAAAAGCATGGGAATATGTCTTATGTTTTCCAAATCAAAACTATTCTCATACTTGGTTTATCCAGTTTAAGCTTCGAGCTCTGAAAGAACTCCCTAATTGGTTCAAGAG